TTTTAGGATCACAGAATTGTATTATTTAAAAATGTTAATATATATTATTTTATTCTTCTTTAGGAGAAGTAATGTGATATATTCTTTTGAAATAATGATATATAAAAAATTTTGTTTTTTTTGGAGCATAGTATTCTCCGAAAATATTTAATAGTGTGATTTGTGTGTTTTTTAAGAGTATCAACAAATACATATTCGTGTAGAATAAATATAATATTTAGTTATACTTCTTTATGAGCATAAAACATCATTAAATACTGTTATAATAATCTAAACCATTTTGTATAATATGACAAAAAAATTAATGAACGAATTTACTTGCAGAAAAAAAAGGGGGCAATTAAATTGAATTGCTTTTCAGATTTTATAAATGTAGAAAACTTGAAGTAGTCTATAAATTTTAGCTCCCACGTTGGATTTGTTTCTTGTTTCTAGGACTTGATTCACACTTTCTATCACGACTAGATCTTTTCGTTTTCCTTCGTGCAGAAAGAAAAAAAATTCAATTAAATCTAAAAGAAGATTTTGATAACTCAGTTGACTTGACTTTCATGCTGATAACATATTATAAAATATAAAAAAAGGAAAAAAATATAAAAGTCAATACATTTGTATGTTTATGTATAAGCATCAATGTCCCATACTTTCACATCACAATTAGGATTGTAAAGGTATAATGTTTATTCACAAATACTCCTATATATATATATATATATACAGCGTGCTTAAGAGATCAAATTCGTGTGTTTGTGTTATTTCGCTGTAGGAGGTTGGTTCACAGGCACAACATTTATAACTTCACATTTCATCATTGTACATCCACCAATTTTGATTACATTCCTTATCTATATAAATCCATTATTATTATTATTATTATTATTATTATTATTATTTCAATAAACAAAACGTAAATTATGCCTTGATTTTTGCAAATTTTCTTAAATTTATATAAAGAATTACATATTGATTTACATACAAATAAGGTGTCAAAAGAGAATGAGAAAGTTTTTTTTTTTTTTTTAAGAAATTCTGATCAAATCATATTTCATCGTATCATGTATATATAAATTATTATATATATTTAGCACAAT